GGACATTGGTGTTACTAACTGAGACAGAGAGGAGAAAGCAAATAGTCTGAAGCAAACATTGCAGAATCGAGTTGGCTGAGGTGGGGAGGGACTTCTGGAGGTCACCTGGTCCACCCCTCCTCCTCAAGCAGGGAAAGCCGCTCATGGCAGCGTTTTGGCAGGCATGGTTTCAAAGGCATGCTTGGTCCTTCCAAACCCACACTTTGCTCCCTGTTAACACAGCTAAACGTGACATGATACAGCCGTATCCCATTAGCCACGGGGATGTGTTTCAGGGAGGCGTGATGATGGGCGATAAGGTGGTTGGTGAAGGAAGTTTACCCCAGAGAATTAATGTGATAAGGAATACAGGCAAGGCTGTAAGAGACACACACAGTTTAAATATACAGGCACAGGCTATTACTACATAAGATCTGTCCCATTAACCAGTGCAGTTATACTGCCCCCTGAAAAGTTACGGTCTTAGTGGTTCAAATGCAGAATGGTGGTGCTGTTATAGCCACCATCAGGTTCCTATGCATTTGTACATGCATCAGTGTGAAATGTGCATAAAATAAGATGTCAAGATGTCATTTGTTGGGCACACTTCAGTAGGACTGGGCAGGTCAGGGGCATTTGCAACCCAGTTTAGGCAGTGGAAGGCTGAAAGATGGAGAGCAGGGTAATGCTGACAGGTATCAAACAACTGCTGGATTAACTCTGAAACGATAGATGGGTGGCGGTGGGACTCTTGCATAGAGGCAGTGGTTGCCAGTATAAGCAAACTCTAAGGGAACAACCTCACAACCTCGAGTTGCAATCAGACATGAGGTGTTGCCAAAGAGGCCGTCCTCCCCACTACTGTCAACAGCACCCTTGTGCCTCTTCCTTAAGCAACCCTGAGCACCTGTCTGACCCAGCACCAAACTCATGCAGAGAATAAAGACCATAGAAAGCTGGGGGTGCCAGCGTACTTTCCATGGGGTCAGACCAGCGCACATGGAGACAGGAACATGGACCAGCCACCTCAGCAGTGGCTTGTCATTGGATTACTATGTCCTCAAAAACTAGTGCTGCTTCCACAGAAGCCAGCAATATGCTTGTAAACCAACAGAAGTTAAGCCATCAGACTAGCTGCCTAGAAGGCTGGAAAACTCTTGCCTTGAAACAGCCATGGCATCACCACAGATGCTTAAATTTCTGGAGAAGGGAACATGGCTAAGAGCAAGGCTGCTTGAGGAATGCAGCCCAGGGCAGCTGAGGCAGGACAGGCCTGGCTAGTGAGGAGGCAGGGAGCTAGCAAGAGGTTTGCTGGGTAATCTTGTTCTGGGGTTGTAAGAGGCAAGCAAGAAGCATGGACTGGTGAGGCTAGGCTGCTTCTGCTCTATCTGAACTGGGTGGCCCTGGGAGCACTGCCAAGCTATAGCTTAACCCAGGTTAGGGGAGGCTCAATGTGAGCCAGCCCCTGCTGCTTTCTGCATGCTTGGGTCTCCTGCATGGAGCCATGGCAGTGGAAGCCAGTACATGCTTCAACCTAGATCTCTTGGGATTAGGACCTTGGCTTCATCTTATGACTCCCCGTGTCCCCAGCCTCTCAGACCTAGCAGTGTGCCTGGCCCTGCCTCAGCACACAGCAGAACAGGGGAACACCAGTGAGACACTAATTCTGTTTTTTAACTATTCCTGAACCTATCCCTATTGAGGCTCCACAGAGTTTGGGGGCTGTATTATGCCATCATGAGCCTCAAAACCATCATAGCAGTCTCTCTGTAAGGCCACAAAGGATAACTATTCCGGCTTAATATACTGTACTTCTCCCTTCCCCCTCAGTACTGCTCAGAAGCATAGCAGTGAGCTTGATCGCAGATGCTGGCTTTAATATTTCATTGGCAAAGCTCTCCAGAATGTAATTTACTTTATTCTCATGCTGTGCAAAATAGAACTGAGGTCCAAATGGTATGAATCATGGCTTGCAGTAATAACTACTAAACACATCATGCCCCCAAAGTGATAGGATTCCTTGTCAACAACTTTGGCAAGTAGTTTCTTTTTTGTGAGAAAAAAAGGGTAAACAATAAATAATGTCCGTGATAACTGCAGGGATCTGTGTTGTGCTATGAGGACCATATAACTGGAAGGCCTTACAGTCAATAAGCTGGAAATCTGGACTCAGCAATTCACTTCCCCATAACTCAGCTTCTCTATCTGTAAAATGCAAATAACAGGATTTCTGACCTTTGTACAAAGCCCTAAAAAGTCCCATGCACAAGTACAACAATCCATGTGAAATTGTTATATTAGGAAATATGGATGGAAGACAAGTCTATCTAACTTAGTATCTGACATTTTTTTTCTGAATGGGAAGTGTTATGCATTCCCGTTCTGAATGGAAACCTTGATTCTGTTTTATTTTCAAGTTTCATGTCTCACTTCAGGATGCCTACTTCAGCCTGCAGTGGTTTCCCTTATTAGAATGTTATTGTATGCATGCAGCATTTTACAGCGAGAGAGAAAAAATTAGGGTGGGAGAGAGTAATGTACTGAGATGAAAAAGCAGTGGGAGGAAATCCACTTCTCTCTTAAGCTTTTACCATGATGTACAGTATATACTTTTCCTCTCCACACGTCTATTCACAGAGGAATCCTGATACTGTTGCCAGACCTCTCTTGACAGTTATTCCAAAACACTATTGTTTTAGTTCTTTACCTGTTGTTTAATAAACTACTACATAATGCATTTATGGGGGCAGATTTTCATCAAGCCTGAATTATCATGAAGTGTTTATTCATTGTCATTTCTCAAGACCTTATTCCCTGTGCTTAGCATCTGCACTGTTTCTAGTATTTTGGAACTCCATTTTAAAAAGCGAGCTGTCCTGGATAGCTTGAATAAATAGTCTGATGGATGGATAGACTGAATAAATGAACACAGAAAATAAGAGCAAAAACCTCTTGGTGAATCTCATAGATTTCAGTATCCCTGAAAAGAGCTCACTTTAGCATGGCCTGTAGTCCTCCAAATCTGTGGATCTTTATACTTCTTGTGATATGAGGATGATAAATTAAGTAATCCCGACTTCTTGACTTTACACACGAATGTATTTGGCAATGGCAAGTCTTCAGCAGCAGCAATTGTCTTCTAGGCAATTGCCTGTAAACTAACAAACAGTAAAACTGATACCAAAACTGAACCTTGTTAAAAAAATTAGACAAAACTTTTGCTTTGGCAGTACACTGAGCTTACTCACTTAAACGTAAGTAAGTAAATACTCTCTGCTTATCTTTTGATCTCACTTTCTGTAAACCCTGAGCTCACATTCTACCATAGGCAGAAGGCATGTTGGCTACCCATGATCTGTCAGGAACTGATAAGACCTGGGCTGGGTTCCCCTGAAGCGGCGTCACAACTTAGTTCTCAGAGGAGGCAAGAAGGGAGATAAAAAGGATGTTTGGTCAGAAATAGCCAGGGGGATGGTTTTCCTCTGAAACAGAGCAATTTGACAGAATGGAATTTTTTCATCAGAAATAAATAATGAAACCTTTTCATATATAGCACTAGGCTTGTTTTCTGTCTGTGCTGAGAGGGAGGTCAATGGAAGGGAAAGAGCTTGGAGGACTCATTGCCCTTTCTTTTAATATTTCTACTTGGTAATAAGCACTGCTAAAGCACATCAAAGCCTGTTTTCTGGATAGAAGAGGTAGCCCCTGATTTACTGCCATGTATCCACAGAGCAGAATTCATTGATCATTTGATAAATTCACTGTCTTAAGGCCAAATTTGGCTTTTGTTATGTCACTCTGAATCTGCAGTAACTTTGCCAAAATCAGTGGTGTTGCAGCAAGCTTTAAGTCCTGAAACTGAAGGGAGTTACCGCTGTGGTTTACTTCAGCAAAAACCAGCTTTCAACAAGCTATGAGTAGCTGGAAGACCATCACCTGCTTCTGCCTCGTACTCCTTCCTCCTCCTTCCACTAATAGATAATATAAACAGAATATGGAGTACACTGTGGTGAAAGGACTGAGCCAGCAGATGATGCTCCAATGTGGCACAAAGGAGGGCTTGGCAGAAGGCAGGTCTCAAAAAAAAAAAAAGAACCAACAATTCAGACAGGAGGAGCAATGCTTAGAGAATGGCTGAGAAAAGTGTATAGGATAATTTAGATGTAGGTTAGCTGCCATGGCAACTGTGTACCAAATTACTGCACTTCTGTGTCTCTGAACCTGCCAACAGCTACTTTTGTTCGCATTTACTTCAGGCTTAAAAGAATCCACCTTAAAACACACGATGGATTGCAAATGAAGTGCAGATACTGGGATTGCTGTGGGGTGCTTGGTTTAAATGTTTAGAAAATAGAGACAGAAAAATAATACACCATGAAAATTCTGATTTTAATCTCTAAGTGGTTAAAAACTACACAATTTCTTTAACATTTATAGCAGTCAGTTCTAACCTTTAATTTGTACAGCTTTGACTTGCATATATTACTAGGTCAACCCCACACCTTTAGCTCCAATGCATATATAAGAAAGAAGTTGGTCCTAGCAGCAGCTCTGTTGATTTTTCACTGTAAGAAACAGACATGTTATAAAAAGAGTAAGACATTTTATTATAATCCAGGATTCTTTGGAAATACGGTAAAATATTAGATCCCTAAAGAAAAGAAACAAGGCTATCAGAAAGTGTGCTGCAAGGCACATGTGTATTATTAGTTACTAAGAATAGTCCATTGCTGAGTGTGAGGGAAAATATCCAAATGCATTTGCTTGATAAGCTAGCTATGTATTTGTTTCTCTGGGCACATGTCGGAGTGTCCTCAAATGGAAAATTAATGTTACAATAACTTAACCTCTCTTCCAGTTCATGTACATACCCAGTTCATGTCCCTAAAGGGACACAGCTTTCCCAACATCTCTCTGCAGGACCCTGTAGACCATAGTATCCATTGGACTTACATGGTCTATGAAAACTCTTCAGAGTAGAAAGAGGTCAGTTTTGAAGTTCACATTGGAACTCAGTGAACATCATTGACATGCCAAGCTACCAGCTGAGAGCCATTAGGATGTGACCCACCGAAGCCAGCAGGAATCTTTGAATCGGCTTCTATGCAGAAGAAGGTGTGGTCAGAGCCAAGAGGTAGTTCACCATCCTTCCACCATCATGGTACTCAGCATAGACTGTGGGTTTTGGTAATCACTGCCTGCCTCCTGCCAAAACAATGGGTAGAGATCTTTATTTTGATGACATTTTCCCAATAGCTTCTGCTTAAAGGGGTATGTCTTAAAATGTCCTGTGTTTGGAAAACTGAAAACTTTTAAAGCTACAGTTCTTGATTACATATTTTATTTTCTTGGCCAAGATGTAAGATAGTAGCCCTTAAATACTACTTATGAAAACCACAGTCCAAATACTTACATTTCCAATGCATCCACTACATTCTCCAAGTACACTCAGTTACTCCTGAAGCCCTTGCATTGTTGCTTGTACTGGTGGCTCACTCCTGATACAACAATACTATCCAGAGTTAGCAATTTGCTTTTTCTTGCAGAGTTTTCAATTGGTTTGGTTATTTTGGCCTGTTGTAATTATCTACCTGATGGTGAGAGCAGAGCCCCTCCAAAGTTGCTTCCAAGCTACTTGCTTACTTAGAAAGTCCGGCAGGATGTCTCCAGTGCATCTGAGATTCTGCACAAGCAGGACACTTCAGTGCGCTGTCTGTGAATGTTCTGTGGGGCAGCTGAGAATGGGAGATTAGTGGGTTGCAGAGCCCAGAGCCCACTCTTAGGCAAGAAACATGCCTCTTTGGGTGTATCAGTATAAACCATTAAGATGTTCTCAGGTTAAGTAGCAGACCCAGTGCCCCTTGCCTGTCTTCTGCAAATTATAATTAAAAAATGTGTTTTCTCTCTAAGTATATGGTCACCTGAGACATTCTGGATCAGTATGATAGCAACTGCTCTCAGCAGCTGTTTAGTACCTCTGGGGATGTGAACCATCTCAAGCTCAGGAAGCAGTAACAGTGCCAGGACTTCATATTCTGCTGTTCATTTCTATATCTGTTTCCCCATACTTCTGCAAATTTCCATTCTTCTAGCATCATCTGCTGAGCACTGTGTCTGCTGGGCAAAGTATCAACTGCTAACAAACTATTCCACTGATAAGGCCTGGTTAAGTACAGATTAACATCTGATGTTGATATGTAAACCTGTGCTCCGCTGCACAAGGTGTAAATTCAGGGTCATTACACTAAAGACATTTTCAGACATCATAATCTGCCATATGCCTTGTCCAGTACAACAGTCATCAGTAAATTTATGTCACAGAAGAGAATTACTAGTATGAGATCAGTCTCATTTGCTTTCAGGTTGACAGTTTACTGATCTTCTTTTCAACAAGTGTCTGTCCAAGGGAAGAACTGCTGGAATTGCCGATACTGTCTTCCTTGTTGTCATGCTTTAAGTCCAGCTGGCAACTGGGTTGTACCATGTAGACACTTGTATACACTCTGTTCACTAAGCTGAAATACGTCTCTGTACCTACTGGACACCTTGCAGTTGCAGGACGTGTTGCTCACATCTGTCTCTGAGCTTTTTAAGTGTTTCTCTGATGTTTTATTGTGGTATTTTGGAGTCTTGGTCATCCCCTTTGCTAAAGCACCAGCAGCACCTAGCAAGCTTTTAGCCTGTTAGGGGTTAGTTCAGGTCTCCCTGTGGTCTCTTCTGAGGCTTTTTTTGTTTGGTCTGATCCTTCGGTCCTTTTGTCTGGGACTTGGTTACATACACAACTTGAGACATTGGTTCTCAGGTTGTATGCTTCTCTATAGTTTCACTTTCCTTTGTGACTGCAGGTTAGATCTACTCTCTTGGACAGTTCATTTTACCTAAGGATGTAAGAGCAGCTGGTTTAGGTCATAGCAAAGATCCATATAGCTTCACATCTTCTCACAACAGTGGCAAGTAGTGGACATCTATGGGAGACAGGGTGAGTACAAAGGGTTCCTTCCCCTTTTATATTTTCCAGTTTCTGGCAACCAGCAGGTCAGGTTTGTGAGCCAAGGGCACACCCAGTGCCTGGTCTGAATGTTAAGCTGGTGTTTTTATGTTAACATTTACAGTGATGCCAAGAACTCTCCTTGAGTGACAGCTGCTCATTCAGAACCATTTGCATTGGTTAGGGCTATATTTTTCTCAAATGCACTGTTCTGTATTTATTAGCTATGTATTTTCTCTGCCATTTTGCTGCCCAGTCAGTTGAGAATTTTGAGATCCCTGTGCTACCTTCTCAGGCAGCTTTTGTTTTTGACTATCGGAAGCAACTTTGTATCATCAGCCACGTTGGCTATCCACCATCTCTTCCAGCCCATTTGTCAATGTGTTGGACAGTGCAGGACCTGGCACAGTCTCCTTCCCCTGCCTTCCTCTTGCAACTTCCTTTAATTGTGAAAAATGATCAGTGGTTCCCACCTTTGCTTTTCATCCTCTAACCAGTTAATAATTCATAAAAGGACTTTCCTTCAAACTAAGGCTTTTTAATGAGCCTTTTGAGGCTTGGGAATCCTGTGTAAAGGTTTCTGAAAAATGCCATTACACAAATGCTGGGGGAAATTGTACTGGGGAGAAGGGTGGGGAGCAAGGGGATGTGTTTGCCTCTGAGACCAGTAAGTTTTTAGACTCCCTGATGTCCAAGCTTCCCCTTAACCTAAGAAAATTGTGTGGTCTGCCAGAGCACTACTTGTGAAAAGCAGTGTATTTCCACTGAAATAAATCTGGTGATGCTGATGATACAGGCTGAATGGTCTGCTTATCAGTAGATCTACTGAGTTTTGTTTCATTAACTCATATCTTTGAACATGGGTCTGTAAGCAGAAATACTTTTGTCTCTTCATTGTGAACAATTCTACCCTGTTCAGATGGAGTCAGACCCAGCTGGAGAGAATGCAATAGTCAAACGCTAATTAGACTTGGGTAGGGTTAATGCAACCTTCTACTGATGTCCATGAAGGCACACTCAGGGTTTATATTTTTACTGCCTAACAGGAACAGCTTATGCTGCCAGTGAAGTCAATAAAACTTTGTCATTGATTCAGTAGGAACAGGAACACATTTGTCATAAAAGATTCACCTGACCTAATCTTTTTGTAAATAAAGAAAGAAGCTATTTCCGGAAATGTCACATTGTCTTTTTTCATTTTATTATTATTATTTCACTTGCTTTGATGGTTACCTTATTTGTCATCTGGCAGAAAATGAAACTCATTTTATACTCTCTTAATATTCAAATAGAGTTATACTACATGTCAATGGGCTTGTATTTAGGAGTGGCTCCAGCACTGAGTAATTTTAATATATTATATAGTTGATAATATCTGACTAAATATTCTAAAATATGTCACTATAGAAATGAAGGTAGGTTTCCTGTGTGGCTTACAGTATCATACTAAAATACAAAAGAAACCTGACTGGGTTTCAGTTATGAAATAATAGATACTGAGCCATTTTCAGATTTGCTCCATATTGCCAAAGTATTTGAACAGGTGTGTTTCACAAAGTTTGTGAAACAAAAGCTCAGCTGAAAGCAAATCAACATTAGGAAGCAAAACCAGTGCTGAGTGATAGTGTTTAAAAACTGAGAAACAAGAGTGGTTTTAAACAGCAACTGAAAAGATGCTTTGATGTTTTTTAAGCACTCTAAAAACATGTTACAATTTTCTGCAGTTGTGTACAAACACATTGCATCTTACATTAGCGTTGCTTCTGTAGTTCAGATTATACCCATCAAACATTAACCTCTTATATGAGCATGTCAGCAGTTTTTGAAGATTAGGAAAACATGTCCATGAGCCTGACTGCTAAAAAAACTTTTTTTTTTCCCCAGGGTACTATCTTATGGATACAAATAGGAAAAAGTGGCAATGAATCTAAAAGCCTTGGTATATTCACAAGACCAGCAGTTATCCCATTGGTTTGCAGGAACAGGCAAACCCCTCTGCAGCAAATGCAAAGGTAGGACAGACAGTGTTTGCTGAATTCAAGTGATACCTGTAATCAATACCTTCACTGGACATCAGCTGAGAAAGGACCCTTCCCTTGCACTGTGAGCTGAACACCTTCTGATCACCATGCAGAATGACAAGTGCTCTCCCTCTGAAACATGACAAGGCTCAACAGTAGCATAGGCAGAAATATTTGGGTCAGAGACTGCTAGCAAAGGCCAAGGTGAACAACATGACCGGAGGAGAAGTTAAGAAAATCTTAAGAATTCTGTCTGGTTTTACGTAAGTCCCTAAAAGCCTTGAATTCATTGGAATTCACTGAAGACAAGTCACTTCATGCTATAAAGTGTACAGAAGCCTTTTGCAGAAGCATTTATAATGTGTAGCTCTCTGACATGACTTAGGAAGATAAGACATGAACAATAGAGAGTTATTAACATGAATAATTTTCCATGAAAATTGGAAGCACTGCAGAACAATAGGATGGATATGGCTTAATAGCACCAGGTTGTCTGCAGGGCTGAACATAAGATATCACTGTAGGAAAGAAATAACAAAGACAAAAGTTAGAACAAAACTGCTTTCAGAAATATGCTGTGGCAGCTGGACCCCAAGATCCCTTTTCCTGGAAGTGTTTCCAGAGATTCAGTGCCCAGAAAACATGCCTGAAAAGCCAGAGGTAAAAGACATGCAGATTTTCCAAACCTGAAGAACTTCAAAAACCCAACACATGAATCTAAACATCTTCACCTTATTCACCTTCATTCCACATCTTGGGTCAGCAGGATGATGACAGATGTATTTGCAAAAGTCATCTTAGCATCTTATATTAATCAAATATGTTGTCCCCTTCAGTACAGGAAAAAAGAAGCAACATAAAGAGATGAGCAAATTAGTATTTCCACACATCATTTTGTGTATTGTCTTTTCTGAAAGCAGTGTCTTCAGTAGGAAAGATGTAGGTAAAAGGAGGGCTAATGGAAATTGCAGGCATTGGCATAAACATCCCCTGGGGTATGTAGTTGCTGCTGTGACTTTCCCAAGACATATTTCTGCCATGTATGTTGCTACGACGCACAGCTGAGCAGCAGAGCTGGTGCTAGGTCAGGTGCCAATAATTTATGCTGGTTGAAATACCAATCCCAAGAAGCTCAAGAGAAAAAATGTTCATACACCACACGAAGAAATGGCAGCTGTTCACTGGCTCTCCTTGCTGAAGCCTCCTCCACTTGTACGTAACTGACACCTATAGGAGTGATCATACAGAAGAAAAGTATTTCCATTTGACATTTTGGTGGACAATCTTATGTAGCAGCAAGATGCTGTCTGAAACACTCAGACCTCTTCCAGTTTATTCACTCCAACAGTGGGGATTATTTTATAACACATGACCAGAAATAATATTTTCTTCAGTTCATCAGGAAACAGACCAACGCAAAGCACTGGCTCTTGAGGAACAGGAGCTATGACATCCTGTCCCTGCTGCACATTCAGTGCCCCTGTAAGACATTCGAAATAGACCTTTCATAAAAGGGGGTGATTTTGCTGAGTCAAGTGATACTGTGTGTCTCTGTCTTCAAAAACCCCTAACAAAGTTTATGTTTTATTTGAAACCAAAAGGTGACAGCCAGCTCCAGTCCATCAAGTGCAACATTCACTGAAAAGCCTAAAAGTTTTCTGATATAGAAAAGGTCACCCTACCATTTCTAGTACTGTGGGTGAGTGAGTGCAGGGAGGGAGGAAATGAAGAAAGGGAGGAGGAAAGGAAGGATGGAAAGAAGGCTGGAAGGAGTGATTCTCTTATTCTAAGATTGCTGTATGTTGATGTTTGGGAAGTCTATGTTGATGCTGCCTGTGTGAGCCTTTCTGTGGTTATACAGAGGATTTTGGTCTCTGTGGTCCTACCTTCAGTGCATACTTGATTCTCTACTGAAAACTTTAATGCCAGGTTTTAAAATCAAGAAGCTGATTCCCTCTGTTCGTGTGGCAAAACCAGAATGAGGAAGAAAATATAAATGTTTTCTTTATTCTGTTGCAGTGATGTATCATTACTCAATCCAACACCCAAAGCACAGGTTTTCTGCACCTGTGGAAGCAAGATTACCTTGTTTCTGCAGTACATATTTATCCAACTCCCATTTTATCATTCCTGTTAATATCTGTCCCTCAGTCATCTCACTAGTCCTCCCAGACCCCTTCTTATTTCCACATTGCAGCTCCATGCCTTACTGTTTTTCTAAAGACGAAACCTCAGAAGAATAAAACATGAAGAGTAGATGGGTCAAACACTAGTTACAGCTTACTGCTTGCTTCCTTTTTTATGAAAGTCTGCCCTTTACCTTCATTTCTGCCTTCCAATAATCTGGGCTTCAGCCACTGAGATTTAAAGCAACTTTAATGCAGAGTTTGATTTTGGACCTTTTTTTTGTTTGTTTTTCCAGAGGAGTGGCTGAATTTTTTTGGTTAAACTTGTTTCCAGTATAAAAGTTGGGCTTTTGAAGTAAATGAAAATACCTACTTTCTAAACCAGCTTACGAGAAGCAATGGGATGAAGAGAGATGAGACTGAGTAGTGTTTAATGCTTCTACCAGCAAATTCATAGTTTTCCATGTAAATAATATATTATTTATGTCCTGGGTTCAGCAGTAGCAGTCATTTTTCTACTTAGTAGCTGGTGCAGTGCTGTGTTTTCAACTTTAGTCTGAGAACAATGCTGATAACACCAATGTTTTTAGTTGTTGCTAAGTAATGCTTAGTCTGATCAAAGATTTTTCAGCCCCTCATGCTCTCGCCTTGTTATTTCTCCTACCATTATTATTACTGGCAGCAGTAGTGGTCTGTGTTATGCCTTAGTTACTGGACTGTTCTTCTCTCAACCTGTGGGAGTTACATTCTTTTGATTCTCCTCCCCATCCCTCAAGGGGGATGGTGGGGAAGAAAGGGAGGAGTAAGTGAGCAGCTCTGTGGTGCTGAGTTACCAGCTGGGCTTAAACCACACCAATTTAACTTTTTTTTTCCTGCGGGGAAAACATAAGTCAGTAAGCCTTCCTTCCGAACTACCTCTTCATCTTTGGAGCTTGAGACTAATTCACAGGTACGTATATTACCAACATGCTGCTGTGTAAGCACAGATACATAATGGAGAAGAGTCCATCATGGAATAGAGGTGGCTGATGAAGTTTCTGTTTAGAGATCTAGGTGCCATAGGGAAAGTGAATAGGTAATGGCTATCCCTCATCTCTCTTCCAATACAAGATCTAAAGGGGCATCAGGTAAAACTTAGACCAAGTGAAACAAAGTGGCCCTTTATACATTGATTTAAACTGTGGAAATCCTTGCTGTAGAAAGAGTGTGGATACAAGGTGCTGTATGGGCTCAATGAGCAACTGGAAAAATCCATAAAGAATCACTGAATAGGAAAGCCTTTGGCAATAGAAGTCCATAAGGTACACATTACTGAAGGCCAGAACAAGATTCTGGAAAAGTTTTACTATATCCTTACCTTTTAATCCCCCCCAGACATCTTCTGTCAGCCACCATTGGAAAAGGGCTAAAAGAACATTCCATCTGACTAGTCCGACCAGGTGTAATAGTTCCTTTGTTCTTTAACTTTGACACTGTCCTGGGTTCAGCAGTAGCAGTCATTTTTCTCCTTCATAATAGCTGGTGCAGTGCTGTGTTTTCAACTTTAGCCTGGAGAGGAAGAAGAAGGGGAATGAGCAAGTGGCTGCATGGTTCTGAGTTACTGGCTGGGCTTAAACCATGATAGACACAAAATAAGGATCTTTAATATACAGCAGTTATCTACTGCTCACTGAGCTCACCAAAAGTATTGTTCAGCTTTAACAGTTCAGCTAGACTTAACACCTCAAGGGCACTTCTGTGTAAAGTGCTTCCAGTAATGGGGTTTCACATTTGTCATCTTCAGTATTTCCCATCATAGATGTGCATATTTTCATGTATAACATGGTAGTGTAAATCCAACCTGATCTCTAGAGCTCATGATGGCTTCTTACCTTGAAATTCTTGACATTTTCTCCACAGTATTATATTATGTCCCTTACAATATTATATGCAAACTCGCTGCTTTCAGGGTGACTGGAATATAATGTGCAGCAAAGGGAGTCCTCCTGTATACAGTCTAGCTGTGGAAGTCCTTGCTGCTAAAGATTGAATTTTCTCACACAGAACCAAATCAAATATCGTTTCCTTTAGTTGGTCACAGCTACAAGCTGGGCAGAGATAAAATCAGGGGAAAACTCCTTCTCCAGTGCAAGTGATGATGTCAGCTGTTCCTACTGAATTCTTCCATGGTGACTTCAGAACAGAGTCACATTTACACTGGCCTTTGGTTCTCCTTGGCTTTAGACACATATCTCTTTTTAGTGAGCCTTCAGTGACCCCATCGTTGTATTAGTTTGATGGCTGTCCAAAGAGAAGGTTGCCATTTTAGCAAAAATGCAGGAGAAGTCATGACAGTTACATGGGCAGCAGCAAAGTCAGAAGCACTACACTTGTTGGAAATGTAAAACAGGCCTTGAAGTTATTCCTAGATTAAGAAACAGAAAAAAACTATCCAGTTCCTGAGAACAGGTGCCCACCTTAGCTGCATTCTAGCATCAGCTTGACTAGAGTTTGACCTCAAAACACACCTATTCCTATTTCACTGACACTGGCAATGAATCATAGATGCCCAAACTTGTGAGAAACTATGTCACACTCCAGCAAGTAACCTAGAACTTGCACATGGTGCAAGTCTCTCCCTAGGACCTGAAATACACTACTTCTACTGTAAATTTTATACTTACCAACTGAATCAATGTCCAGGTTGCTGTTTAGCTGGAAGTCTGCTATGTGCTTTGCATACTTCTTGTGTGCTTGTGACATTCAAGCTACTGTTTCATTATGTTGTGGCCCCTGAGACACCCTTTGATACTGAAGTAGTTCTGCCTTGCCTTGAGCACAGTGTCACTTGGTGTGTGGCACAGAGGTGAGAAAACTGACTTGGTCTGGCACCTACACAAGTACATGGCATTACAAGATCATGAGATGTAACTCCCAGTCTCAAATATTATTACTTATGTATTTTTTCCATCACACTTAATATTATGGGTAGTTTCAGTTGTCATCTATGAGTCGAATTTTCAAAACCGCAAAGTGTCAGCCTAACTCTGGTTCCACCAAAATCAACAGCAATTTTTATTGAGTTTGGTTTTGGGTGATGGCTGCACACTATGGGGCATTTCATCTTGTATTTTGAAAGCCAAAAAGAACATCCAAACAGAAGACCCAGGGTGAAGGCATTCTGGATAAATTAAATCCTTCTTTTTAATTCTGGCTCATATTCCCCAGAATGTTTTAAAGATGAGGAAAGGTTTGACCATGAACATTTCAGACGGGTGGGGACATAAACCTGGGTTAGAAATATGGGCAGGTCAGCCATTGAATCACATAAGGATTAATTTCCCATCTACCAATGTAAATAAAACTGAAGTTCTCTTACCCCTAGAGCTTATAGGAGTTTTTTAAAAAAGTCTCAGCTCTTTCTGTGCCATACCTCCAGGGCTTGTACAAAATTGCTTTTGACCTGAAACCTCATTCACTGAAACTTCTGGCACTTTATCCTAATGCTGAAATCATCCTTTTATAATTAAATGATTGTACCATTCTCTAGCATCCAGCAGGGTCCTCGAGTTTCATGTCGGGTCACAGGGAGGATGGTTAAGCACTCGAACAGGTGCCCAGAGAGACTCTGTGTAACCAAAACCCAGCTGGGCAAGGCCTGAGCAACCTGATCTGACTGGGACACGCTCCCTGTTTTGAGCAGGAGCTTGGATTAAGTGACCTCTAGAGATCCCTTCCAACCTCAGTCAGTTTCAGACTCAATGATTCTCCGTCTTTTTTTCCTTATATCCCTTACTGCTAAGGGATCTCACATAAAAAATGCAACTATTGTAGTTCTTCCCTTCCAGCCTTAGCCTTTCATGACTTTTTTTCCTTTGGCTATTCCTCTACCATCCTGATGGTTTCATTATTTTATTAGTCTCATGGTGTCTAGCCACCAGCTTTAAAGACAACATAGACAGAACTTTAAGCCTTTCTCCCCAAAACCTTCTCCACACTCTCTGTCATCAAGACAACACAAACACAACTCTTCAACTCAGCCTCTTGAGCACACTGTTATATGCCACCTTTTACTTATCCAGTTCTGTAAATCTACATTTTCAAGCTGTAGCTAAATATTGCAGGTTCTTTGTACATCGGATCTCTTGCACTCACCTTGTCCTTTCAGTCGTCAGAGATCTGACATAGGGATCCAGATATCTGAGTTTTATATTTGGTGTTTTATCTACTTCTATACATCATTTTGTGTGGGGTTTTCTTTTGCAGACTCACTTAAGATATTTTACAGTATCACAGATTTTTTGCTTTCCAGTATCATTTCTTTTGTTAAAAGAGTTCATCTCTTCAGTTAATTAAAAAAGATAGAAGCTGAAAATGAAGATCAATCCCATGATTTTAGCGCTTCTTCCAGTTCTCATGTCCCATCTTTATTATTGGATGACAGGAAGGGTGGTAGCAAAGATACTGGATTTGAGATCCATAAAACTTGGGGTTATTTCCTGCATTTCAGTAGGCCTACAGTGCAGAGCTTCAAATCAATTACTCCAGAGACAATAGTAATTCATTTGGAATACCTGAAGACTTTTAAATGCCTAATTCATATTGTGAAAGTAGAATTCTTTATTTAAAGCTACCTTCTGTATCTATTTGTCTGTTGAAGTCTAAAGGGTAAACATATTCAAAGGCTGTGCTAAAAACGGCACCTCAGGAAGATGGGGATAACACTCTTTCCTCCCTCTTACCCTTCTTCATGTGCCAGTCTTAACATCTTTGCAGCCAGGAATATATTTTATTGTATGTTTCCAAAGCGTAACTGGACATCCACTCTTTTGAATGAATGTAGAGATGTGAGCAGAAATGAAGAAAAACACCAACAGGTTTTACTGCTTCATCTCTTAAAGGG